TTTGCAGCCATTGTTCAGATGATAATACAATCGCAGAGGTCCATGAATAAACGTCAGCAGAGCTCTGAACATGCAGCTCAGAATAAGAGTCTGATTATTGATGGTGAAGATTGTTCTCTTGTGTAGAAAAGCGATAACAAACAGTGCATTTAGCATTGTTCCTGATAAAACGATGAAACAGCCGATAGTAAACAAAGCTTTGTGCATTGGGAATAGTTTAGTACCCAAATCATCCACACCATAACACACTGATATGTTCATTATTAAACTGTTACTATTGACATAGAGTTAAATAGTAACAACGTCATTGAAATATTAGTGTATTGAATGCTATTACTCTTTTTTTCTAAATGGAAGAAAATAAATGCAGCTATAGTTCATAATGGAAGAAAGAGCAGATGAACGAATTCTAGAAAAAGTTTAACTTTTGCGTTTTATCTCTCAACGTGTCTTTCGTTCTCTTTTCCTCCATCTATCGAAAGGACTTATGGCATCGGTGATGTTTCAATGTGTAATTGATGAAATATCAAAATGATGCTTCGATTTGCCACTCACAGTAGTCGACTTTTGAGATCACATAATTAACTATGTGATTAGAGATGAATGTTGAGGACTCCCGTGCATAGTCACATATATCTATTATTGTATATTCAATTTATTTTCCTAATGCAGTATAAAAACACCAAAGGTTTAAACACGGAGAAGTAGCAAAATGTCGGCAGACAAATGTGGCTTATCTGATGGAAGCTCGAGAACAAGAGATTTTCCTTAACAGCAGTTCTATTGATTTGCTGTTTACCCGTAAAACCTGCTTCACCTTGATTCTTTGGTCGTATAAACGTCGTTTATCTACTACTTTTCTTTTCTTGGTCATTTTCAATCTAAAACTGTGTTATACAAGTAACAGAAATGAAGAAAAGCCTTATCGAAGTAGTACTTTCACAAAGTCGCACGGAGGTCGAGCGCGTCGTTCTTGACATTTTGATAAAACAATTTGGAAAACGTCCGTCTACGCTTACTGTGAAAAACTCCCTCATTCAAAATAAAATCAACTTTTCTGGCCCACCTTAATGCTTAAACAATTCAATTCTTTTTCGGTTTTGTAAGAGCGACAAATTATCTATGAAACTGTCAAATTTTCGTTTCTCAATCAATTATAGAGCCTGAGATAATTGAGTAAAAAGGTCCGTCTACAAAAAAGTGAGTTCAAACGACCGTAAGTATGCAGACCGTGCACGTACTTGTGGTCAAGTACTTCTAAAAGTACTTGATAAATAAGGACAAGTACCTACAAGTAAATTTAGTTCTGAAAAAAAGGTAGGTACCGGCTTCATTACGCAAACGAAGTACTTGACCACAAGTACGAAGAAAAGAAAGTATTTTTCATATTTTCTGTACGGTTTAGTTTAGTTAGCCGCTACCATTTCTGGTGTAGGATTTTTCTGTACAGTAGTTTTATGTTGAAAATGACCGTTAAGCTCGAAATATTCAGAGAAAATAAAGAATATCATGAAATTCAAAACGGCTGCACTATTAATCATGTTTTTGAATCAGAAGTCGTTGCCCTTACAGGATTTTGAAGATGTGATTCTTCTAATGCATACGATCAAATGAAAATGTACATTTTTCAAAATATGCAGTCGGAGAGTTCGTTTGATTAGTTTGATTTTTGAGTTGTTGCTTTGTTTTTCTTTCCGAAGGATTTCACCTGAAAGGCTCGAAAAAAGCGCAAAAACTGGAATATAACCATAAATGTTTACTCTCTGAACTGTGCCCATTAGTTTGCAAGATATTTCACAAGATCATCATAAATTATGTTAATTGCTAATGTTTTAGATATTTTTATTAAAGTCATAAATACATCAATAATTTCTTTCACAGTCTAAAAAAATTGAAAAACAGCATGATATAAATAGTATGGTATCTCTATAAGTGCAGAATGCAGAAATCAACTAGAAATCTCCTACTACAGATGTAAGAAGACATATAGAGATGCTAAATTGAATGAGAGATTGACAGTGTTTATCGAAGACTCGCCTGATTTCAGTTTCCCAAATGACCTCTACCAAATATAAGCTGAGATGTCCGTATATCAGTATTATAAATTCAGAAAACAATTACCAATAATATAATATTGTTATTAAAGTATAATAATATAACTAATTATATAATTTAAAGAATGGACGTTCAACCGATTTCCATATCAGTTCCATCAGGTAAATGTGTATGATCGTCACGCACTACCACCGACGAGTCCGACTAACTTGTTGCCGTAGCGTTACACTTCACGCATACCCAATATTTTGAATCGTTTTGATTTTTACGTTTGAGAGAATATCGATAACCGAGGTAACATAGTTATCTTTTGCCATGTGTAGATTCGACAATTCAGCAGAAATTATAATAATAAGGTACTTTGCATTTTTTAATGCATCATGTTCTATATTAACTTCCCTTATCGAGGTAGAATCGTGTACATCCTTATACGGTGCAATCAAAGTCCAGAGTGTACACGTGACTTCAACTGACTGTCGAGGAAATATGCGATCCGTGGATCAGTGTTGCTTTGTTCAACACTTATAGATGTCACCAGTCCCGACGTCTGAGTTGAGAAAAGTAATGTTTTCGGAAAAAATTAATTTTTTCAAAAACTATCAGGAGTTGCGCGATGTGCACACGATCATTCTGTACATTTTTCCGCTAACGAGAGAAGGTCCCTAAGTGCTGTTCTCACTTTTCAATGGGATACATCCTAGTTTGTAGAACTCGGCGAGTTGATCACGATGGCATAAAACGTTCTTCCCCATAACCATTATTTGGAACGCTAACTCGATTTTACTTTGTGAAAAGTCATTTTAAACACTTGTTGCGAGATTTAGATTTGAAGGATAATATGATTTTAAACTGCCAGGTTTGTACCGTTGGATGCGACGCACTCAACTGTACATGCTCACATGTTAAACTAAAATAGAGGGGCTAAGCATGTCTGTATTTTGCATGCTTCAAAATCACTAATACTGCGAGTACAGAGAATTCAAATCTTTCGAAAATCTTTCGAGAATGCTATGTTAAAGAGGATAATTCTTGATTGCCAAGCAGGACAACATTTAGCCCAAGCAAAAACGACCCAATTTTTTGGGTTATTTATCTAGATTCAGCTCCACGTACATCTAGATGCACGTGGACCTGAATCTAGATAAATAACCCAAAAAATTGGGTCGTTTTTGCTTGGGAGATGAAGCAGAAAGAAGAGCGAATAGCCAACAAAGTAAAGCCAGTTCAGAAAAGCACTTCATAGGAACAAAAACAAAATTCAAAAGCAAAGAAATTGTACACAATTGAAAATGATGTCTGAGGAACAATGAATTTTTTATCCTATAATTTAGCCTAACAACAATAACTTTCTCTCTTTTTTTCAGCAATTTGCTGATATATTTTTGCGCTAGTTTGTGTGAGATATGTTCACTTTTATAAACCCTCAAGTTTTTGAATATGTGCTTCAATAGTATGATCTATGAAATGAAGCTTACAAGTCAAAAAATTGTATTATTAGAATTTAATCTCGAAGTGATCATTCACAATTGCAGTCCGTTGCTTGTGGATAATTAGATTCGTAACTGAATGGGTTTATTCGTAAAATTTTACTCAGTGAATAACAGGGAAAAAGCCAAAGGTAAAAGCGCGTCATTCTTTGCTGCATCACCCGTTGGCTTCATATTTCATCATACATACAAGAAAAGGGAAATCACATTTATGAATAAGAGGGTGAAAAGTGCTTAGGCTATAACGATTATTACCTACCCAAAATTTCGTTAATCAGTCGCTGCTGTCTGTGTTTGTTTTAGCTATGTTCTCTGTGAATTAACTTCACACCATGAATGAGTGATTTATAGTTTTTGATGAGGGTAAGAGGTCTGTATCTGGTACATTTATTTAAAAAGAAGTTTTACCTTACGATCACTTAGACTCTTAAAACCATGAAAGCTGCGTTTGTAGTAATTTTACTATTTACCTGATTGTACTACAATAGTTGGGTCTTTAACTGCGATTACACAACCTGTCTGTTGTTCTTCGATTTTCCATAAAATCATTCGTTCGATCCATGTGTTATTTGCATCATTGTCACACATGTCTTCGTTAAATATCGCTTCCGAACGTAATTCAAGTATTTCATCTTTATGTTGTCCGAAGATAGCATTTGAAATATTGATAACATCAGAAGGCATAATAACGTATTATAGAGTCTTTTTTGAATTCACCAAAATGATCTCGTAATTTTGTCTTGCCTGTTGATGACGCCTTTTTGACTTTAGGCAGTACAATGTACTAGTCCAGTCTGCTGTCCAGTCAGCTAGGAAAAGAGAAGCAATCAATTTATTACTAGAGATAAACGAGCGAAGCATAATGCTACCTATGAAGAATCTTCTCAAAAGCTTTTTGAATGGAGTGTCATTTAATGACAAACCGTGTTTTTCACGTTCTGTTGAGTTGAAAAAAACCCAATAACTTAGTCTGTTCTCTTCCGTTATATTGTCATATGATGATTAAATAATGAAATAAAAGCGCCATGATTCACGTATATTAAATGAGTCAAGGGAATATTCCCACCTAGTAAAAATGTTTATATAATACTACCTGTTCGACTTCTTTTTGTTGTAGTTAAAAAAGAAAAAGGTATGCCTTAACTTCCATTATCGAAACAGAGATATGCCAAGGAATTATTGAACAAGATCTATCTAGAGAGATATTAGTGTTTGAGGAACGACAATAGTATGATTTCCCAATGCTCCCGCTAAGCCATCGAGAAAAAATATATATTTAGGATCGTATATTAGTTTTTGTCCGGAAAACGTTACGATATTTGATTGTCGTTTTAGCCTTTATCATTAACAAAACTACAGCTCAAATTGATTATTATCATGAGATACTCTCACAATCCTCTAAATTAAATAACTATCATTATGGAAAATAATAAACCAAGATTTATTAATTCGTTAACAATGGAAATCAAGCAAAGGAAAAAAGATTTAAGCAAATCTGATGACTCAGAATCACTAGCAGGTACGCGTCTACCTCAAACGAGTAAAGTTGAAATATAAGAAACAGATGTCGTCTACGTTTATCAAAAACCGTTTCTAAAGCGTAGTTCATCAATGAAGCATCAATTAATGATGGTTTAGAAAAGAAACATCATTTGAACTTGAAACAGATGATTGATCGGTTCTATAGTAAAAATATTACCATGACATCAATAGATAATGATAGGGTTTTAGAAGGTGCATATTTCTATATATTTTCGAAGTCTCATATCTCTAGTTTTTGAGAAAATTATAAAGTTTGATCGATAGATATCGATGCCATACCTGTACAATAAAAATGCAATTTTGTCATTTGGTCAGCGAGATTATTGTGCATTCACATGTATCTTGGTTATATTGTGGAACGACGAGGAGTGAACAACATGGCCGAAAAATAGGGTTGCCTAAAAGCGATTTTGCTAAAAAAATGCTTTCTTAAAATCATTTGAGTAACACATGATGTGATTCAGTTTGGTCTGCTGTTTTGAAACAAGTCCTCATTTTCCATTGAAGATGCATAGAAAGTGCTAAAAATACAAAATAAGCGGCCCATCTCAGTGCTGCAAACCCTTGCTTTTTCTCACCGTTTACGCTTTTAGTTTTCTCGGAAACCATAGAGGTGTGAGGTTTCAGAAATATATAGAAATGTTCACTTTCTAAGATTCTACCATTATCTATTGATTTTATGGTAATTAAGTTTTATCTTTAAAATCGACGGAATCCTTTCGTATGTTTTGTATACACTGTTTCTCTGATAAGATTTGTGATATTGTAGGTTTTTCTTTTCGCTAGATTGTTATTCATATCGGCCATTAAAAGTTCAGAAAAATGCAACTGCTTCGTGTGTTGCTGATTGTTTTTCACGAGAAAGTACTAATATTACTTCCGATCGTTACACGGAGCGTCATTTTGAAACAGAAAATCTTCGCCAAGTTCGTCAGCGAACATTTTCACACTGGCTGTTACAATCACCGTCACGGTCACAAATGATAGAGGCTGGGTTTTTTCGATGTAATGCTAGTGATCGCGTCATATGTATTTATTGCAATTTGATCTGTCAGCAATGGTCAGCTAATGATAATCCTTTAGAAATACATAAAAGCTTATCTTCAAACTGTACCTATGTTAAATCATTTCACGAACTAGTATTTGATCTACGATCGAATGAACAATTAAAAATGAACTTCAATGATACAAGCGAAGAACTGAAAATTCCGAGTAAAGAAGTATTAGCTACGTTGGTTGATGCTCGCTTGAAACTATCAATAACACAGATTCTCTTAGAAAAAGGATTCTGTTTATCCGTTATCAAACAATGTTATAATGATCAATTGAACCTAAAACGTAAGTTGTACATTTCTCTCTTTTTGAAACGACTCGATTACTTTCATTTAGATACCGATTTTGTGTCGGACTACGATCTCTATTTGGCTTGTATTATACTCAAAAAGCAAATAGTACATATCAAGGGAAATATCAAAAATATTGTTATTGAGCCCACCCGGCACCTCAGCGAAAAAGATCGACTAGGTACGTGACAACACAAAGCTTAAGATTTCATTAGACTAAAGTGAGAAAGAAACTGCTTGCCATATAAATGTTTATTATTCTTCTCACCATTAAATGGAAATTTGAGCATATATAACGAAATCACAAATCTAAAAGGATCTAAAAAAGAGAATAATGATAAGAACGCTTGCAGAAGAATTGAATATTTTTCTATTGCAATTGACCTTCACTTATCAAAGGTTGTCAACTGAATCTATCCACGTACTCCCTCCTAGTAGTTATATTATTTGCTGAATTCCGTCAACCGACGTTTGAGCGCCCGACATTTGAGCGCCCGACATTTGAGCGACCCCGACATTTGAGCGACCGACATTTGAGCGACTCCGACATTAGACACTTTTCAATATGACTTTTTGCCGATCAGGAAAGTCGAATGATTATTCACTTCGATAACGATGATCAGAACAATTTTTTTGTCGTCCGATTATGAACT